GGTGCCCTGGAGGGACCTACCTGGGAGCAGCGGTGTCAGGTGTGCAAGGGAACGAGTCGGTGGGAGCCGTGCCGAGCCGGCACAACAAAGTCAATCAGCTCCAGCTCCTTGTGGCTTCATTCAAGTTCGCACCTCCTGGTAACTTTCAGAACAGCTGAAACTTTTAAGTGCATCAGAGAGAGAGAAATAGATTGGCCGGGATCAAGGATTTGTGGAATCCGCGGGGCCCCGGGGAGGGGACACCTCCCTCGCGCCCCTGTAAGCATTTGTTCCCTGTCTTTGTGCTGCTGCAGTGAAGCTGCTCCCGTTCTTCTCTGCTTGACGGGGTCCGGTGGGACACAGCCCCTGCCACCCTAGAGGTGGTGTACTCCCCGCGTTAGCGTGTGAGCAGATAAAACTGTCCCATCTTTTCAGATGGTTCGGGCGCTTTTTCGTCTTGGTGTCAGCTGTGGCATTATAAATGTTGTCGCTGTGGAACAGACACCGTAGTTAATGTGGAGATGGTAGGTCTGGTCTTTATGTAATAATTACTAATATAGTAGCTGCTGTTTACAGATTTCCCAGTTTATAACTACTGTCTTATGGGTATATAGAAGGTCCTTGGAATTTACCTAGCATTTCTAGTTTCTTTTTTAACCTACCCAGGCTTTTAATAGGAACATACCCTCATACAGGATCTGGTTGTGTGGTTGTTTTGTCCAGTTTAAGAATCCCATGCCCTTTTATCTTTGACCAGAATAATTTTACAGGTTATCAGTTAAACAGGGTGGTAAGATGAGGTTCTGTGATTGCGATTTGTTCATGGCCAGTTCATTACTTCTGTGGTAAATAAACAAGTAATAAAGCTGACCTGCTTGTAGCAACACCATATAGTTGACCAGTCCACATATGATGGACTTTTTTATTCAGTCTCCTTAATGAGAATCTGTGTCTACCGTGATTTTTCTGTCCCCCAGGTTTTTTGTCTTGGTGTTGGAACATCAATTAATTCCATTGTCATAGAGACAGTTCTGATTTTTATTCAGTAATAATATTGTCAAGAAACCGATGGTCATTTAGAAACTTTTAAATTCTGAAAACATAGGAGTGGGGGCTATTATGTCTGCATATTACATATTAGCCTGTGCTTTGTATCATCTTTTCCTCTCCTTAACCAGTAATGATTTAAAAATGAAAGAGTATTCAAGTTCTTAATATATATTGGTAGCCAGGATGTTTAGAAATGCTTACTCTTGGAAATGCCATTTGCCTTCTTAATTACCATGTTATGTTGGGTATTTGACACTTGACTCCTAAAAAGTGTTGGGTCTGTTTCCTGTTAAAAATGGTTACACATTATTACCCCATTGAGCAACAGCTTTTGGCTGCTCACTTCACTTTTATTTTGATACTAAGATGTTAAGGCCTCTCCCCTGCAACCTCTTAATGATAACTAAGCATGTGCTTATCATTAAACACTAGAGTGGTTTCATTGAGTGCCCAGGGCTTGTCATGTAGTTAAATGTTAAGCATGTGTTTGGAGGATTGGGCCTAAAATGATTTCTGTTTTCAGATTATTTTTTTTCCAGTTATGGATGGCAATAGCAACTGGATTGTCTGATTGTGAAGTTGTGCAGGGAAAGTAGCAAAGAATGAAAGATATTTCGTGATGCTTGGAACATGGGAAATAAGCTACTTTTAAATGGTCCCTTAGATCATCCTTTTTCTTTTAGCTACACTGAAGCCCTGGGGGGGGGTGGGGTGTATTCTTGGTAACTTGCAAAATTCAGAGTTATGGATGTTTATACTGGGATAAAGTTTACTTCATAATGAAATGCATGTGTTTTATAAACAGCTGGATTAACTACATTCTACTGGAATTTGCGCTTGGGAATGTACTACAGGCCATTGATTTAAAGTCATATTTCTTTTAACATCTCAGAAAAGATTTTTAGTTTTATTGAGAGTGCATTGCTTATAGCCAGTCTTCCTTGTGTGTCTGTGAATCATCCATTCAAAAGGGAAGATTTATATTTCATAGGAAAAGGTTTGTAAAAGTACAAAAATTGGTAGAGCACGTCAGGAATGAGTATCATACCTAAAGCTACAATTTCTTTCCCCTCTATTTTTGCTTTGTTTTTTAAAGAAATTAACTACTCATTTAAGCAAAAAAAACCCCAACACATTACCTTTCAGAAATCTGCACCATATGCCTCTACACTTTCAACAATATAAATAGTAGGTTGCTAAGAATGAAAAACTTGTAATTGTAGTGCATACTTCCTGTGACTTGAAATGTCTTGGGCACAGAAAAGAAATAGAATCCTTCTGGTTGTCTTGTTTAGTTCATCATAGTCCTTGTAACTACATACCAAAGTGCTTTCATTGAATTAGGCAGAGTACGTTTACTTTCTATCCTTATGTGTTTGAGAAGGGGAGGTCTGTTCTGGTTGGTTCAGAAGTCTGGTGTTTAGTAGTCCAAACCTTTCAAAGATTTGGCATTTCAGCTACATTTTAGCGTTGTTGTAATGAGGAAAACTTGTATCATTTATGCTGTATTTAGAATGGTGTTTAGAACTGTTATGACCAGATTTTTTTCAAAAGAGTCTAGTTCCTATTTGGCATGTAAATAAAATGCCCAGATTATAAGAAGTGCTCCAGATACAGCAACTGTTAAATATTCATTTAGCTATATTCTTGAAAGTAATTTTTGAACTGTCTCTTCTAAAAAACGGAACTATTCTGAACTGCTATTTCAATTTCAGGGTTAAGAATGCACTATAGTTTTACAGCCCCAAGTTGGGAGGTGTAATTCATACTTTGCTATTGTTTTCCCAGGGCAAAAAATGTGGTTTTGATGTTGGTACTTTTTAAAATCTGGCCATCCCATTTAAATGTCTAATAGGAGTTATAGTCCTCAGAAATACCTGTGCAGTTATGATTGATCAATTTTTTCATTAGAACTTGAGTGCTCCTAACTTTTAGTCACACCGTGAGCTTTGCTACCATGATAGAAAATGATATACCTAAGTGTTTGAAAAATTGGTGCCTATGTTAGGCTGCTTTGATGTAGTTGAATTATCATCCCCTGCCTGAAAGTAATTGTTTTTCAGTTGATCTTTTAATATAGTTTCTCTTTGAATTCTAAGTACCAGTTCATATTTTTCAAATGTTAAGAAAACTTACCATATTTGACAGACTAAATTAGATTTTCTGGCAGCTGTTAACTAATGAGGGGTTTTTTTTTTCCCTAGAAGGAAAAGGTTTGGTGTATGACATCTTTCACATGGGGGGACGGAGGAAGGGGGGGAAAGGGAAGTTCTCCCCATCTCCTATTCCCCTCTCTCTCAAATACACATACCAATATATGAAAGACTTTGCTTATGATTGTCAAATTAGTAAAGGAATACTGGAATAGAAAACAGTGCTGAAAAACTAATATTTATTTGTATCCAGGAAATTGATTCTGATCTTAAGAGGCATTTTAAGACTGAGTTAGAGGGAAGGGTTTTATGTCTGTCATTGTATGCATATCTTCTAAGTGAAAATGAGAACAGCTTAGAGTCATGGTTGCCAATTGGGTGGGGTGGTATGGTTGTAATGGGAAAATGTGTTCCTTTTCACCTTTATTACTAAGATCCTATCTAAAATATTTTTGTTCTTGTAATATTTGGGAAGGAGAGAGAACCTTAAAATAGCATAGTGTTAGATTTGTGCTTCAATGATAAGTGTACTGAGAATTGCAAAAGCAGTTTTTCTCTTAAATGAGTTGGCCAAAAGCTAAGTTTGCTTACATGACTCCTAGTAACTTGCTAAGATCTGTTAACACTGTTTTTGTAGTGTTTAGGCTTGGTTTTTTTTTCTATTTAGGCAGAACAGCCGCTAAAAATATTTTTCATAAGGAATATCAATTTCATATGTGAGGTAGTAGGAGATACTTATTTAGGCAGATAACTAAGTAGCTGCTAAGTATTTTAGTTTGGAGGAATTGAAACTGCTGATCAGAGGATCAGTGACAGTTCCCAAACATATGCAAAACTGCAGGCTGTGAAGGGATGGACTTGCTTCTAAGGATATTGCCATTATGCCCATCAAATGCAGTGGAAAGCAGAATTCACAGTGATTTTTATTTAATTTTATTTTTGCCCAATGCAGCATATGTTAAACAGTTTTAATTTACTAAAATTTCTGATTGGTAAGTGATTTTTTTTTTTTTAATGTCCTGAGCAGTTATCTGTGCGGAATATATATTGTTCTATTCTTGAATTGGAGGAAAAGGAGTTATTGTGGTTTTATGGTGAATGTCATGCTTAAATCTTGTGTGCTGTGAGACGTGGGTCCTCTGACTTACGTTACAACGGTCTTCTCTTAGCTTTATGGCCCTCTTAAATAGAGCAAGATGCAAGGATATCTCCTTAGTAATAATAAATGAAGCACATTCAATCCTTGGACAGTTTTCAAGGGCTTTGATTGCTTTGGATTAAAAAAACCCATAGAATTGCTCCTTTGTTAGGGATTTGATTCAAATGTAGAATTTTTACATGCAGTAGGTGTTATTTGATGGCGTATAATGTTGAGAACTTACATAAAGTTGTTAATCCATAGTATGTAATTGTGCATCATTTTGAGGGACTCATTGTCTAGCTTGGATGCTAAATTATAATTACCTTTTGTTACTTCTGAACTAGTGAAAACCTTGGAAAAAGTCTCTCTTTGGTAACCAAAAATTAAGGATTTTTATTTTGGGTTTTTACCAACAGTCCTTCACCAGAATTAATTTCATGCATTATTAACTTCCTTAAATATATGGAGTCCTTCTCCCTTTTTAAAAGGTTAATTTCCACCATAATGAAATGTAGATGCATGCTTCTGGGGATTTCTTTGGGAAAAGTATATATTTGTTTGGACCCCCTTGTTTGTTTGTTTCTTTTTATAATAACTAATCATAGCCAGATAACATTCACTTGCCTGTGTAAGTCTCCTTCTATGTAGCTTCTTTAGCTTGATAAGCTAATTGATGGAGTGAAATATTCATATTAATAAAAATATGTGCAGGCAAACTGGAAAAGTTAATGTTACACAGCTTATTTCTGGCCTACAATGTTTCCATGACTTACATTGTTTAAAAGGAACAGTATTGAAGTGTTGGCATTCATTTG